CTACAATATATATTATAAATTATTATATATATATATATATATATATATATATATAAACAAAAATGTCAGAAATATATCCAGCCAATTTCCTCTGATTTCTTCCTTGCACCTATTTAATATAGGCTTTAGAGCTTGCACCTAACCCAGGATTTCTTGGTTCATAATATCATAAGTAGCTCTTCTCTGTATGTTTCCAGGTCTTATGTCAGTACGGCTTGAGCCTGAACATTGTGTTAGCATTCCAGATTTTTAATTATCTTCCAAATTACCTGCAGCTGTCATGAGGGGGTTGAAACGAACACATGTGCCCTCATCTTCCAGCTCAACCACATCCACACCACTTAGGGGAACCTGCTGCACCAACTGCTCACCCAACTGTCAAATCAGATCAAAGCAGGCGGGTCACTCATTTGTAAGAAAAGCATCTCGGCACTCTATTATAAATGCTCACAATTCAGCCTACTTATTTCTCATAATACATTGTGAGTAAGAGAAGCATTTACCCATCTGTTAAGGGCATCAAGGACATCCCCTGCAAAATATCCTTCTACTGAGCCACCACTTGAGGCTGAAAGTTAAAGTTTTGTATCTCTTAGTACATACATGCGTAATATTTTTGTAAAAACAAATTTTTTCAGAATTCTTTGATGAATAGAAAGTTAAAAAAAGAATAGCATTTATTTGAAATATTTTGTAACATAAACATCTTTACTGCCACTTTAATTTTCAATTTAATGTAACCTTGCTAAAAATAAACAATTGACCCAAAACTTTTGAATGGTTCTAGTGCACCCCCAAAACAAAATAAAGACTTTGTAAAAGAGCATAATAGGACCCCTATAATAAATTCTGCTTAATTCCCATGATGCCGCATCACTGCTCCAAAGCGAGGTCCAGCATTGATGCCCAACGAGTCATCAAGCTCTGTGAAGTGACATTTCCTAAATGTTTTTGCACATGCCTGTAGCACTGGCAGGCCTTTACACGAATAAAAGCCTTTAAACTGAGCACCAGCACTTATGGGTGGACATGGTGAGGGAGGGAACAGTGGAGAAACAGCGCGAGTGAAAGGGAGTGGAGTGGGATCAAGCAGGTAGAGGGTTGGTCCCACCTACAATAGAGAGTATAAGAGAGCCCAGCACGTCCCGCAGCGAGCCCCCGGAGATGGGAGGGACCCGGGAATGAGACACCACATCCTGAAACCAAGGCACCCACGCTCACTACCACACTATGTATACAGTATAAGAGCTAAACACATTGCTGACGGTCACAAAGCACACCGCCAACATACATATGACGAACACTCTGCTCTTTACCATGCACAAAGCCTCGATGAGAGACACCTCACTGTCAAGGATATCCTAATGGTGGTGACACAGAACAGAGGTGTTTGCTTTTAAGGTTTTAGCCTAGATTCTCTGACTGACAGGAAAAAGTGGGCCACTGACATATAGAAAAGGACAAAATTTCAAGAAGCTGCCAAATAAAGTGCAAAGAGTTTTCAAAATTTGTGTCATTAAGCTACCAAATGTATTATTACGTATTAATATTTTCAGCTGACATATTTTAACATGGTGATACGGTCTGGTTGTAAATGGCAGAAATGTCTAATGGCATCCAGATTTTAAAGGGATAGTTCACCAAAAAATGACAAGTTGGTCATTGTCATCATTTATCTACCTTCAAGTAATAACTAGTAAATATATCCTATATATTGCTTTTATTTGTGTATTTTTTTAGTTTTACTTTTTGTTTTAGTAATTGTGCCACATGCTTGCTTTTATTATTATTTTTTTTATTAATATTTCTATTTAACTTTCTTTACATTTATTTCAGTTTTAGTAATGTTAGTATTTCAATTTAAGCATTTTATTTGTTACTGTAGTTGCCAAGGCAACATTTCTAATTTTCAAGCTTTTAAGTTCAAGTTTTTCTAATATTTTATTTCAATTAAAGAAAATGATTTTAATAGTTTTTGTTTTAGTTACCACTATTCACCGAACCTTCTTTGTGGTGCCATTTGAGGAAAGCTGATACATGAATAATGTCTTATATTTCAATCTGTTCCTCACAGAAAACTATTGTATGGCTTGAAATATAGGTCACAAATCACATGGACTGCTTTTATGTTACTTTTAAGGAGCTTCCTTTTCCAGTTCCCATTTTCATTATATGCAAGTATGAAAAGTGTGAAAATTTCACAAAACATTTTTTGTGTGTTCCATGAAAGAAAGAAAGTAATTTGGGTTTGGAACAAAATGGGGTGAGTAAAGACATTTTTGGGTGAACTATCCATTTACCAAATGAAGGGAGAAATACAAACTCAGAACAGAGGAAATATTGATATGCAGAAGCTTCAAAATAGTTCTGATTCACACTTATTTGTGGGGACGTGATGTAACTCTAAAAGACATACAGCTAAATGGATGAAGACAAGTTCACCTACCGAGGTTTTTATTGAAGCCAGTGTCTTCAAATGCTCCAACAGCTGTTGACTCTACAGGGAAACAGATCAGTTCCCAGCAAGGTCAGATTAATTATTGTGTTTAAACTACAGTGCATCGAAGTTGGCATCCAAAATTAAGTTGGTAGGGTACTCACTAGCTGTGAGGCATGCTTAATCCTCTGTACAATCCCATCATGCCCAAGGTACTGAAGGGACAGCCAGAGAGGCAAAGCCCGAAGCTTCTCCACTGGCTGGCTAGAGGTCAGACCTGCAGCAAGAGACTGCCCCCAACCGGCAGAGAGGATAATCCACATTAGGTATTTGAAAGTCATATCTTTGGATTGCATTTCCATATGATGTGCTGTAAAATGATGATTGGTACTTAAAATAACAGTCCAACTTACCAGGGCCGGATCCTCATGTCTGTAAAGAGTGACAGCAGGCACAGCTGGCAGGCCCAACCACGGGCCTGGAGTTAAAGTCATACTATCACACTTGGTGGCCGCCTTGATAGAGAGAGGAAGAAAAAAATAGAATGTACTTTACAACAGGAAACAAATGCGGCCATATGTGTGCCACAAAAAACACCGTACAACATACCGTGACAGCAGAAGAGACCTGACCAAGAGCAAGTGTTGCCAAATTCACCCTGAAAGAATGTCACAGAAAGTCAATTTAAATTATGATGAATATTAACTATACACATCAAATCTGTTTATTTCAATATATAAAAGAAAATCAAGTAAAAGAGGTACTACAAAAACAGGACCAGCTAATACCAACCCCTCCACATGGAGCCACATATTGTACTGAACGCAGAGCTCTTTCAGACGACTGAGTTTGTCTGTGTGACCTGCACCTGGCGTTCCTGAGAGATGAAGTGAATTTTAATGATTGCATGCAAAACTGACAACCAACAAATGCTTGCAAAAATGATTCTGCTTGAATAAATAAGATCTAATAGCAAACTGACCAGCATTTGCTATCAACAGCAATGGAACCTTCCCTGATTCACGATCATCTCTGATGAGCTTGTCAAGCAATGCAACATCCTGTGAAAAGACAATTTAGTGAAAAACACACCATTTCAACACATTTTCTATTAATTGTATCAACACTGCCTCGTTACTTGCACTTTTCTGAACAAAGAGTTTCAATTCCATTTGTCTTTCTTTTTAATGTGTTGTGTTAATATGCGTTATATATTTCTATTTCAAATCAATTCTGTTCTTTTAAACTTTATATCATCAAAGAATCCTGAAAAAATAAGTATCACGGTTTCCACAAAAATATTAAGCAGCACAACTTTTTTCAACACTGATAACAATAAAAAATGTTTCTTGAGAAGCAAATTAGAATATTTATTTTATTTATTTTTTAACGCCATGTCAGCAGCAAGGCTATCTTCAATAACAAAAGTAATACAATTAACAAGAAACTAGAAAATTCTAGAAATACTAGAAAATTCTAAAATACGCGTAGGTGACTATTTTTTTAAATAAATAATTTAAACCCATTTCTAAATAAATAAATCTGTTGTCTATTTACATTAAAACAATCAAATCAGCATATTAGAATGATTTCTGAAGGATCATGTGACACTGAAGTTTAAAGTAATGGCTGCTGAAAATTCAGCTTGGCAATCATATGAATAAATTACATTTTAAAATATATTAAATATATTAATATATTACCAATATCACTGTTTTATTGTATTTTTGATCAAATAAATGCAGCCTTGGTGAGCCCAAGAAACATCCTTTTTAAAAACTTACATAAGTTCTAAACTTATCTACCAAAAGACAGCTTCCTACCATTTGGTGCAAGGAGCCAAACATGGTGTTACAGGGCACAATACAAAGACATGACAGAGGCAGTCCCAGCTGAAAAGCAAACACAAAAAAAGTTGTCTAATCAAAGCAAGCAGTATTCACTACATATAAACACACACGCTATATTTTGTAATATAGTGCGATAATGTGAAACATTTCAGATCCTGCAGCACTGACGTGTGATGTGGAGGTGACATTATACCTGGCTGCAGAGATGTTGTCCCAGGCCAGGTCTGCATGCAGCACTTTGGTAAATCACAGGATGTTTAGAGCTGAGCATTGTAAAGCCCTCTGTAGCATAGTCCTCATATTGAGTATTAATAACTAGCCGACACACCTTCACCAGCCCCTCACAGTCACCTTCATGATAATATGCGGAGCCATTTTCATATCTATGAAAAATAATTAAATAGAATTAAAGAAATATCTTAAATGCAATGTAATCTCAAATCTCAAAATGGATATCCATTTTCATTCTGTACACTATAATGTTGTGATGTCTAAATTCAGTAACATTTAAAATGATTGATTTTAGTTTTTAGTGTTTTATTTATTGATTTTGACAAAACAATATAGAATTTTAATATTGGCCATTTAGCGTTTATTGGCCATTACATGAAAGTAATTACTTGCTTATTGGTATCAGCTAAAATTGTAATATCAGTGCATCCTTAAAGGGGTCCTATTATGCTTTTTCACTTTTTTAATTTGAGTCAGTGTGTAGTGCGTATATTTGGGCATAAAAAAGATCTAGAAAGTTACAAATCTCAAAGTCCACTCCAAAGGGAGATATTTAGTTTTTTAAAAATCCATTTTCAAGAACTACAATGAACGGCTCGTTTTGACTACAACGTTTGTTTTCTGGGCTTTGTGATATCAAAAAGCGGCTCATTAGAATATCATTACAAATAATTCCCGCCTACAGAAATTCGAATGGTTGGGGGGTGGGGAGGGGCAAGGTTGTGGTTAGAACGCTTGGTTGAGTGAGTGCATCAGACGAGACAACGAAGAAGAAGTGCTGTTGCAGAGTTAGTGCATCAGAGAAAATGAAGAAGAAGAGCTGCTGTGCTGTAGCGTCAAATTTTCGGCATGTCTAGAACAATTCTTACAAGTATAACACGACGTAGCTGGGCGCCGTGGACAGACGCCGAACGGCGCCGCCGGTGTGCCTACACTCATAGAAAATAA